AATGATTTTGAGAATGAACGTCAATGGAGGACGCCTCGACTTATATTTTTTATCCCTTTCCACCTCTCACCCTCTTTTTGAGTTTTTGTTTTTTTTCAAAAAAAAGTCCGAGGTCCTCCTACATGCACCTGAGTGTCTAACGTCATTTCCATTGGTAATTTGGAAAACGCCACACGCTCATTTTTTTCGAGATTGAATTTTTGATTGACGTGGATTCTACATGGGTGTGGATTCTCCTATCCGATAGGAACATGTACGCTGAAATATTTGCGCGTAAAATTTTCCTCCAAGTATACCTTGTGAAAGGATTTTAATCGGACAGGAACAGGAAAAATCCTACATCTCAATTTCATTTTTTGCTTTCGGGAAATCCTACTTTTTTAGAGTTTTTTTTAAAGAGAGGGAACGGATGATTTTACAAAACAAGTGCAAAATGTAGTTCAGAGCTACATATTTTCTTCAAAATCATTATCACGAGTTTTAATAATCATTTGGGATCGTCTGAATTGTACACATTAATTTATTAGCTGAGGAATATTTCATAATTTCTGCTGTAAGAAAGATCAAAAAAATGATTTCCAGGAGGTTCTCTAAGAAACATAAGGTAAAGTTTCTAAACAGCCAAAATTCCATAATACGGTCGTGAATTGGAAAAAACTATACATCCACTTCAAAGCTCTTTTTTTAGGCCTGAAAATATTTAGCTATATGTTAATATTTTTAAGGCCCACCGGAAGCTTTAGTATAGAAACATTTTTCTCCATTGCAACTTATATATTTTTACACAGTTTTTTGTCTTTTCTGGAAAACTAGATTTATTAAAGAAGAGAGATTTTGCATCTTGCATATTCATCTATCGATGACCCTTTTGGAAATTCAGGATATTCGTAAGCTAAATTCGTCGGGGTAAAAAAAAATCGGAGCGCTTAATTTTAATGAGAAAAAAATGAAGCACTTTTTTTATTATTTGATCATGCCTCTTAAGGCAGGGGGTTGAGCTGTGCAGTAGTCAGGTGGTCCGCACTTTTTCCATGCAACTGGTAGGGGAGAAATGAAAAACGGCAAAACCTTTTAAATTACGACAGCCTCGAAGCCCATCAAATATATTAGATTCCCCGTGATACCCGCTTTAGATTATAGCAAGCTCATAAGTTTCCCGGCCGAGAAATGCTTAGTAATAAGAAGGGAAACTTTCAGAACATTTGACGGGTATACATAAAGTTGAGAGGAGCCTTTTTCCCTTGCCGGAGCGTATGAGTTTGCATTTTAATTTTTTTGATTGCTGCCGTCTCTTTCCCCTAGCACTCCGGTTGCTTTTTACAGCTTAACTCGTGCATGTTCCAGACTTGAGCTCGGTGCTTGAAAGTTTTTACCCCTCTTTAAAGGTATCTTTCCAGAAAAGGTCACAGCGGTTTGCGTCATTCCACCATTTTTCATAGTTAAACAGCTATTTATACGTGTAAATGTTCATCGAAAATGAGGAAAAAGTGCCCGAAACATGAAGCAATTCGCAAAAAAATTTAGCGCGCATGTTCTGACTCTCATCATGTTTGCGTGCAGACGCAGTGAATGTTCGTGCGGCAAAAGAAAGTTGCCTAAAACATGAGTGGATTTGCAAAAACTTTGACGTGAATGTTCGATCTCCCCGAAATGTGCGTGCGCGAGAAATGAAATGTGTTTGGACACATATTTTTCCTCATTCATTTAAGTGCATGTTTTTGCTCGAAATTAGACTACCTAACTGGTAAGCTTGAGAAGCATCGCATTTATGCTGGATTTTTTAAGTAAAAGACTAAAAAAAGTACCGTTGATTTAAACTTACTTTGACATTAATGATTGCCCCCGGTTGCCAGCACGAAACTAATCGTAAGCTTCAAAATATTTGAAAAAGAAATAAAAATTGTCTATTCTTTTCCAATAAATAATAAAATATTTAAATACAGAATCGTTGAAAGTGTCTCATTGTGGGGGCCTCAACTATTTATGGTAGAACTGGCATGTTACGTATCGCATTTACAATTTTTTTTTTTTTAATTCTCACTCGCAAGCAAAAAAAAAGAGAAGAAGTAGATAACATCTCTTGCGCATGAATCTAAGGATCTTCATAAACATAATTTTTTAAAAATTAATATAATTTCAATGACGTTTCTTGCAATGAAAATAAGATTTGGCTCCGAAGATAAGTATCCTATTTAATGCAAAAATAGACTCCTCCGTCAAATTTAATTGAATTTTTTGGCGGCTAAATCCTCATTTTATATTCAAGGAGCTGTATCGGCATTTGTTCAGCTTAAATCAGGTTAGAATTTGCGGAGATCTTAACGCAATCGATGCGATGATCGCACGCCAGTTTGACCTCAGCCGAAGAGCGGGATAAATCCACCTAGATGACTTTTTTAAACTCCTCATCAACCACATCAATAAAAATGCCGGAATCAAAATTGTGCCTTTTTAAGTACGCGCCTAATACCTAGTTTTAAATTCAATATCCGAGGAAAACTCAATTTTCAAATTTAGGTCGTGAGTTTGCGCTCTCCTCGTTGACACAATAGGATACTCGTAGCGTCGCAAAATGGTGGGAGCCAACAGAAGAATTAGGAAATTTTTAAGAAACTTTAAAAACTAGTCGACGGGGAAGCAACCAGACCACGTATCTCGTTTGCGGTGTTTAAAAATCTCCACTCCCATTAGATTTTTATGAAGGAGAACAAAGCAATATTAGTTCTTGAAATTTTTATAGAGTCTTTCTTCGCATAGAGATAAAAAAAAACACGTATGTTTTCCAGAATTGACATTGAGTAGTTTTTCATTTGAAAATTGAAGTATGAAAGGAAGTCCACGACGTCGCAAACAGAGATACGTGGTCAGGTAGTTTCACGGTTGTTATATCTTTGCTTTAATATTGGCTCCATTGTCTTTCTCTTTAAATTTCCGATACGATGAACTCTTTAAATTTACAAAAAGCTTGAGAATTTGCAGTTTACTTGAAAAATGTCATAATCGACCTCTCGAAATGTCTCGCTCCACTTAGCGCCACTGTGCTAGGAGAGAATATTAAGACATGGCCACTCATTTCTCCGCGGTCCTGTTCTCGGCGCGGACGAGTGGATGAAGCTTGATGGATGAGCTTTGGAAGACACGATGGTGGGGGAGAAGACTGCGGGGAGGGGTAGGGGGGTCGCTAATTGAGCGGCAGCGCTTGGGGAGGGGCTCAGGGGAGGGGGAGGAGATGAAGCGATGAGATATCAATCTGGAGAATCATGTCTACACAACTACTCGCCGAGCAGGAGTCGCCGCCTCGCCGCACCGCGCCGCCGGCCGCCATTTTGAATAGCTTTCATAATTGCCTTATGTATTTTATGGTGGCCCGAGCGAGGGCTGGGAATACTGCCGGGAAGCCAATGGTTAGTCGCGCCAAGGGAGTTCCTTTGTGACCTTATTCGAGGATCCCAACTCCTGCCGTCAGCGCCGTCGGTCAAGAGCTTGGATTTTCCGAGCATTGAATCAAGGATGTTTCTCAAATATCTCTAAAAACATTGACATGTTTCTTTTAAAACTAAACTTTAAAAAAAACTTTATAAAAAAAGAAAAAAAAATTATAGGTGTTTCTTTAAAACAGGGGTAAGCTAAAAATATTTCATATATGACTTTGAAACGGTTAGGAAGATAAGTGTAATGGTATGTTTTATACTTCATATGCGTTTAAGTCATTCATCAATAATTTTAAAAACATTTTTATATGATTCAAATTGATTTGAAGGCACGATAAGTTCTACTGTAATTTTTTTCAAATTTCCAAAAAGTTTTATGAAAATCTTTTCGAAGCGCACCCAAAAATAAGTTTTAAATATATTTGTTGTACACTTTCAAAGTATGGCGTTGAAACTATGAATTTCTCAAAAGCATTTCTGTAATTGTATTGCTCTTGTTTCAAAAAAAGCACTTGCGAAATTTTTCCAACATTTGAAGTAATTTACCACGACTAAAAAAGAGCAGATAATTTTCTGAATTGGTAAAATTTTGTTTCACCTATCTTCTAAAAATGTGTTTCTGAAAGGATAAAATGAAAATTCTTTCGACGAACTTGTGTTTTGGTGTGCTTGATGGATGGTGAAAGTATACGAAAGCACGTCACTCCGATTGCGATGTTGCAAATTTCTAGTCACACGCATCACGTCTTTTTATGGCCGGTAATCGTCCTTCATAGAATAAATGAGTTGCACCTCCTACGATGCTCGTGATGAATTTCAGACCCAAAATACGAATAAAATGGGGGAAAACTTAAAAAAGGAAACTTTGATTTATTCCTCCTCAAAAAAGAAAAAAGCTGAACTCCTAAATTGTTCGTAGAAAAGAAGTCGAGCCCAAAATATGATCTCATAATCTGTGCGAAATTCATGGAAGTCTCAAATAGGGGGAAATATCGGTGTCATGAAAAACGGCAATGAACATGGAAAGATTCATAGTTTTCAAGGAATATAAGAGTTATTTGATACCTTTCACAGAAGTGGATCCAATTACAGTAACAACGTTGGACATCGAAAAAAAGACGCATAAAACTTTTGAATTGTGACGTTACTTTTTTCTCCTGTCTGGTTTTTGTTAATTTGAATGTACCAAAATGGATTGAAAAAAAAAAATTGCAAAAAAATAGCAAACAGAAAGCAGCGTGTAATATGAAATTTTACGACTTCCAGTAATTGGAACATGTTTTTGTCTTTTTTCCAGCAACTTTCCCGATGACCAGGCGGATAGGACACCCTTACCAAAACCGGACGCCGCCTAAACGGAAGAAGCCTCGAACCTCATTCACAAGGCTACAGATTGCAGAATTAGAGAAAAGATTCCACAAGCAAAAATACCTGGCATCAGCAGAACGAGCTGCTCTAGCAAAAACTTTGAAAATGACTGATGCTCAAGTTAAAACGTGGTTTCAAAACAGGCGCACGAAATGGAGGTGAGTTATTCTTGGATTTATTATTTATCCCTATTTAAATCAAATTACTTCGACATGAGCAGAGCACTGGTCTCTATTGACCTATTTTAAAAATATTATTGAGGTGGGCTCAGAGCTTACCGGAAAAATGGAAATAAGACGCTACACAGTGGATCGAGTCAATGGGAGGAGTCGGACAAGAAATGTTTCGACAAATTTGTAAAATTTTACGTTCATCTCGTCACAATTTTGATTTTAAGGGGTAGTTATTACATAAAATTTACGAGAAAACAAACCAGACCACTTTTAAAACATAAAAATTTCATATTAATAAATATATAAGCTTTGAAAGTTTTTAAATCATGTCCGATCTCTCCCGTTGTCTCGATCCACTGTGCGCCATTTAAAAATATATATCTTAAAAAAGAAAAAAAAAATACATTGCAATTTACGCAAAAGAGTTAAATTTGATGGTTCCCGGTTTTTTCCATTGTTTTCCGTGCTAAATCAAACGAAAATTCTATCTAAATCAACATAAATTTGTGTTGCTTTGTGTTTTATCACCTATACATATTAACCGGAAGTAACACAAGAACACTACAGTATTTCTCTCCTCTTAATTGTCGCTTTGACCTTCCAGTCTTGATGGTCGCGTCGTCCGTCTCTATCTATATCGACTCGAGTCATTGATGTTCGGGGCGTTTATCGAAGGAAACATGGATTTCGTGCGGTGCGAACGAAACCCTTCGCAGAAACGACGTATCCGCAAAAGGTTTCCTCGCAGATACGCCCTTCTTGGCCCGAGTTCAAATGGAACACCTTGTTAACACGTCGCGGTCGTTTTTCTCTCGGTCAGATGAAAGGGACGCGGCGCGCGGCCGAAACGGCCCAAAAGGAATCGAACAAATCGGAAATGAAATAAAGCTTTTAAAATGCTGAAGAAACAAATGGGACGATCAGGTCATAAATCAGAAGGCGAACACGTTCCTTGCGCCGGTGCCAGGTTGAGCCGGGACTCCGACTCCGGGCGCTTTCCACACACGTAATCGAGGCGCCGCACTGTGGACCGTGTCAATAGACAAAATTTGGAAACTTTAAATGCTTATAACTCTGCTTGTACAGAACTTTGAGGCTCTAAAAGTGGCTCCACTTGTTTCCTCGTGAAATTTTCTTCCCTTATTTTTATCTCCTTGCTTGTAAAAAAATTGTATATGTGTCGACGGTTTAAGTCCGCAACCACGTACCTCGTCAACGTTCAAGACATCAACCAATGTCGAAGACTTTCTGTCATACTTTATTTTTTAAATGAAAAACTGTTCAACGGCAATTTTTAGAAATTGCGTTAATTTCAAGGAATAATGACGATTTGTTCTCCTTAAAGTTCATAGGTCAGCTAACATTTTGTGCAGAAGTATAACCACGCGTTGTAGTCATAACAAAATTCAATACCCATCATTCAATCTCATTTGCTGAAGGTGTAAACGAATTCCAAATGTTGCGTGTTACCTGAAGGTTAACCCCTATTGTCACGTAAAACTCTCGCAAAAACATGTTCTCATGAACATGCGAGAGCATTTTGATTGACACTGTTGGAAAAATACAGGCATGTAGCTTTTCATGTTCTCACAATAGCGGTGCGAGCTTTTCAGGGACATGAGGGCTCTGCTTTTTTTTTCTTACCTTTATTTTACTTTTTTTTACCTTTTTTTGCTCGGAACCAAGAAAAAGTCACTCATAGGTAATATTGAATCTCATGTTAGCCTGAGCCTCTCAGTTCAACTTTCTGCCCAAAGTTCGGAGAATCCTCGACGTCAGCGCGAGTTTCATTGCACCAAGCTGGCAACTTTAAGTTGAGGCGCAGATCCTTGCGGTGTGGCAGGCCCTGGTCTTATTTGCCCTCGCTGCGCCTTGCAAAGTTTGCGAAGCTTTGCGGTAAAGTCCGTCAAATCCTCAGTTAGAACCTCCCTTAATACCGCTGGAACTCATTCAATTAAATTCAGACAAGCACTCCCGAATAATACACATTGCTCTTGAGTAGTTTCTAGTAGGGATACAGTAACCACTAAAATGGCAACGCAACTTGCGCTGAAAAAGCATATCGGAAATTTATTACCTCTCGTCAATATCAATACCCAAAAGGTACCTAACTCCATTTTAGTATTTTCGACATCACTGGAAAAACGCGCGTCAGCCCTATTGATTCCAATGTGAATCGCAATTTTTGAAACTCCGCATCTCATAACCGTCGCAGGATAGGACAATCAAATTTTCCACACACACGAACCGTTAATGGAGATTTTGAAAACGCCAATAATTCAATTTTGCCAAAAATGTGAGTGAGGTAATAATCTTTTGGCTTTGGGGTAGCGATATGATGCATGATGAAAGTCTTCAACATTTTTCTACGACGTAGATGAAAAAGCAAATCACACCCAGGTAATTTGTTCTTTATTTTTGTTTCATTTATCGATAAATCCACGCAATGATTTTTCATGAGCTCTGGGTCTGAAATTTATAAAGACGCAATATTTCAGAATCAACAGCTTGAAACTCAACACATGTTAAAATGCTATTCAAAATATGAAAGGTAAATAGTACACGCATGATATGATTAGTCTCTGAGAATTCCCACTAAAAAAATAGACAATCTAATAAAACCTGCTAAATGACGGCGGTAAATAACAAGTACAAAACAGAAATTGGGCGTTGAGCCTCCGGCTCGACGCTGAAATAGTCAAATGAAATTAAAACGAGCATTTACGGAGATAAAACTCTACCCCGTGACAATTAGCCGATTAAACTATAACGAGTGCAGCGCAACTCTTTAAAACACACGGCTTTGATCGGGATAAAAACATAGGAAAAAGCAGGCGGATAGTTGGGACTTGCATTTCGTTGCCTGTCACTTAGCGCGTATCGGTGGACTGGTTTCATTTTTCACCCCCAGCCTCCCCTTATTGAACTAGATATGAGGTTTAGTGCCGGGCCGCTAGGCTAGGGACATCCGATAAAATCGAATCTATCCGTCGGGGTGGTGGCTCCATTCAGTTATGCATAACGATTCATCGCGCAGCAATAATGCAGCACGGCTCGGCGATAAGTCAACGATGGAAATTCGGTTAAATTGAGAGCTCTTTGAACACAAATTATTCCGAAAGCCTCTGTTGATTGGGTGGGACTGCGGGAGGGGGGTCCTCTAATGCGGGGTGTACATGCAGGTATGTGGTGGTGTTCGGAGGGGTGAATATAGATTAGGGGGGATTTGGGGCTACGCGGTGCGGCTTACGTCGGCTTGAAAACCTCCCCATATTGAATTACATTCGGATTAATACCTGTAACGAGTTTATGATTCCATTCCACCCCACCGCCCTCCGTGCTGCTCGTCGCATGGTGACCGTAGAACCGACCAAAAATGAGAAAAATAGGATGAATTCGGAAATAATCAGATTCAGTAAAATAAAAAAATGGGTTGGAGCACTTTGTGATATGACTCGAGAAATAAATTAGCAGATATAGTTTTTTTGTAAACTACTATAGATCGTTTTTTCGTAAAACTAGTGCAAAAAGCAAAATTCTCAAAATTTGTCGCTGAAAGGGCAACAATCCGCTCTGAGAGACCCTATTTATACTTTGCTACCTCTGATTCTATGCTCTTCGTGATGCAGTCAATAGTAAATGTTTAAAATTTTTCTGTGACACAAATGCCAAATAAGCTTTTAAACAAGATTGCCAAATTGTGTAGCTTTTTTTACTATTCTGTGTCATTTTGTGTCATAAGTTCAATATATGTTCTATATTTAATCGCGGTTTACGTATAGATTACACCGTCTTTTAGTGGATTCATGTTTAGGCGATCATACTCAAGGTGACTCAAGATAACACAAGATCACACAGAGTTGTCAGTCCGTTGCTAAGAGACTCTGGATGCATTCAATCGTTGATAGACTTCATTAGTGTACGCTTTCTATTAGCTAATTACCGTTTAATTTATGACGCACGATAAAACCACAGTTACCGCGCTAAATATTCGTATACAGTTTCCTCATAAGATTACGTTTTAATCAGTAAAATAAACCTCCATTGATATTCTTTCACTTAAATTACTCTAATAGATCGCTAGAAAAGGAAAGAATAAGAGAATTGCAAATGAGAAATGATATTTTTTCGTTTATGCCAAATCATCCAAAAATTAAAAATTTCCATTCGAGGAATTCAATAAATTAAACTTCCTAGAGGAAATTAGAAGTCTCAGACAGAAATTTTATAGGAATTTTCTTTCTGCTCTCATACAACTGTCTGAAAATCAGCCCTGTAAAGCGAGATCTTTGGTCGTTAAGTACTCCAAAATTTTAGAAAAGCAAAGAATTTAGTTCGCAGGGTCTCTTAGGATTTTTTACGTGTAAACAAAATTGCGCTCTTTTCTCATTCTGAGGCGGTATTGAAAACGTTTCGTAAGCTTACCCTGTTCTCTACGACAAGTGATCACAAAGAAGTAGATCTGTGAGTGACCTTATCCGCTGATCTATTGGCGAAAGCAACATCTTCCTCTCTCACGAGATAGCTTATAAATATTTCCATCAAACAGATTCATGCAGAGGATAGATCTGTAGAAAGACTTGGTAACTGAATAAAATGGTCACCATACTCTTTAGCGCAAGAGGAAAACGTCCCTTAAAGGGCCAATAAACGCATATGAGGGCAACCTACCCATTTTATACAATTGTTTCTCAAGTTATACATCAAACGGATTTATTCAGAGATTCTAAAATCCGGCGAGGGAGGCTAGATGTTAATCCGCACTCTTTAGTTTAGGAGGGATCGGCCCTTAAAGGGCCCATAAACACACACGAGGGCGGAGTCACCAGAGTTCGCGATACAAATGGAATTTGCACGGGAGAGAGGGGGAGAGAGGGAGGCTCCAAGCACAACTTTGATAAATCGAGAGAACAAGGAAGATTAATTCGACCCGGAGAGAAGGCACGCTGGTGGCGTAATAAAACTTGCGCATCGAATCAAGCCAA